ATTTCTATTATATTTTTGTTGGCCATTAGTGCGTCAATTTGATAAATATATGTTTTTCAAAACTTCACAACTCATAAAACATCCCAAAAATAAAATATGGTCCAAGCGTAACCGTTGATGATGGCATAACATAAAAATTAGCATGCGAATCCGCTTTATTAATGGCATGGACTCATATGACTTTTCTCTTGATTTCTCTATTCCTTTTATACATTTAGATGTACTTGTATTAGTCCATGTTTGATTGATCAATTTTGTAAATTTTTGGGCCAGATGAACTCCGTCGATGTTTTCCATAGGTAGTCCCCAGCCTCAGTATAGGAAGAGGGTTACAATGGATTGGCGGCTAACACATTACTTTGTTCAAACTTTGAATCGAACAAAATGATAAAAGAGGGTTGCAATGTTATCCAAACGATAAGTTCAAGTGCTGATAAAAACATATGATATGTTTTACCGTTATCATTTTTAAGCTAAACAAACAATGTAAAGATAAATGAAAATATTAAACACTTTTGAAATTACACAATTTCAAACATATCGAAATATTTTTAGAATTACGCAACATACTTTACTAATATACCAAAAAATAAAGAGATACACAAACAACCCTTCACATTCAAAACCCTCCCACATTGTGTTATAAATTCAAATAATAATTGAATAGTAGATTATAAAACTTTTTAAATTCTAATAATAATTGAAGGATGAATTGGGAATAATACAAAATTAATGAGGGTATTATTGTCTCTCAAAAGTTTTTCCTCGATCCCCACTTTTTAAATATTGTAGATGATTACTCTTGATTCCACCTGCAAACCCTTTAGTATTTTATTGGTCACAAAAATATTGATTATTTCAAACAAAAGGTCAAATCTCACCTTCGATAAAGAGAAGGAAATCTCAAAGATGCAACAACAAATAAACTAATTCATAAAAAGAAAAGAAAAACAAGGAATCATTGGTTTAAATTGGAGCTTAAGCATTCATGTTAATTACTTCAATGTTTTGGTGGAATGATTCGCAAGAAATATGTAGGGAAATAGGAAGTTAATTTTTGTGATGACAAACATCCCATGTATAGGATTTTATTATTCTGTGTATTGAACAATAATGTAGTAATTTTGTTTTAGAAATAAACACGTAGGTATTTTAGAAATTATTTTTGTAGCGTGCTTTAAAAAAATTCTCTTTGTATTGTTCTTGACTACAACTTCAAAACCATTTGGTCTTTTGTTAGGTCAGAAAAATATTGAATATTTCAAATAGAGAGTCAAATCTCACCTTTGATAAAGAGAAGGGAATCTCAAAGATGAGAAGACTAAAGACAACAAGGAATTATACATTTCAAATACTTTAATTTTTTGGTCGAATGATTCGCGAGAAATATGTTGGGGAAACGGAAAGTTAACGTCACAAAAAATAGTTTTTAGATTTTTTGTGATGACAAGCATCGCATGCGTAGGATTCAATTTTTTTGTGTACTTAACAAGAGTGTAATAATTTTGTTTTAGAAATAAAATAAGTAGGTATTTTAGGAACTACCCTTGTAGCATACTTTACAAAAAATCCATTTACGTTGTTCACTTGTTCTTCTTGATAACTTTCTGTTTCATCTTTAAACCACTTTGATCTTTTTTTGGGTCACAATTTACTGAATGTTTCAAACAAAGGGTCAAATCTTACCTTTGTTGAAGAGAAAGGAATCTCAAAGATGAGACATCAACTAATCTTCATAAAAAGAAAAGAAAAACGAGGAATCATAGGTTTAAATTGGAGCCTAAGCAATTCTTTTAAATGCTTTAACTTTTTGGTCGAATGATTCGAAAGAAATATGCTGGGGAAACGGGAAGTTAAGATCACAAAAATAGCTTTTGTTATGACAAACATCTCGTGCGTAGGATTTAATTATTTTCTTTATTTAACAAGAGTGTAATAATTTTGTTTTAGAAACAAACACGTAGGTATTTTAGGAATTACACTTGTAGTGTGTTTTATAAAAAAATTCCTTTGCATTGTTATTCTCGATTACTATTAATACCACCTTCAAACCCTTTTATCTTTTCTTGGGTCACAATAAGACATAATATTTCAAACAAATGGTTAAATCTCACCTCTCATAAGAGAAGGGAATCTCAAGACCGAGACAAAACCTAAACTTCAGAAATTGAAAAGAACGACAAGGAATCATGGTTTATATTGGAGCTTAAGCAATTCAGCGTTGTAAAAAGCAAGCCTAGATGATGCGCTACGCCTTGACATTGAGCGCAAAATTAAGAAATCAACTGTTGAGTTGACCGCTTAATGTGTGCCTAGAAATATTTTATTAATTTTTTTTCCTTTAAAAGAAAAAAAAAACCTTTTACAAGAGGTACTAGAAATGCTCAAAATGAAATAAGGGAGCCTAAAGAGGATGATCTTGTAGGAAGACTAATTACATGAAGAAGAGGATATTGAATTGGAGTCCGATAAAGAATTAAATAAGATTAAATCTATAGTACTATCTATGTTATGTAATTTTGATTTTGAGACTTATCATTTTGTTGAAAATTTCGAAAGTATATATGATGTTCCTATAAATTTATTGAGGATTTGTGTAGTTAAAAGTTGAAACTATGAAAAATGGTCCAACTTTTGCATTTTGAAAATTTAAAAATTGTATAACTGACTAATTGTAAAAATTATTAAGTAAATACATTATTTTATAATTTTAGATATTTGGTATGTATTATTTTAATTATAAAATTATTAAAAATTTAGAATAATATTAAAAATAAGAAAACTCTTTTTTACGCTTAGACCTCACATTGGATCATAAAACTTGAAACTTGACCTCCACGCTCACTCACACTTTACGCTTTTTTAAACATTGAAGCAAACCATTTAAATACTTCAAATTTTTTGCTTTACCTCTTTTCCTCATCCTCAAGAATATCTTTACATATTTCTCTACACTAAATAAAATTATGGTATCTGTATAATCACTCTTGCCAACATAGTAAACTATGTTATTACCAAACTTATTATCCAAATAAGTCAAATAATAGGAAAGCAAAATAATAATAACAAACATGTCTTGATAACAACCTTTGGATTAGGAATGTGATCACAACCAAAAACACCATAACTGTGTGGTGATATTGTCAAGTGGGACGGTGGGGTGTTCCCACACATTAAAGATTGATTGTACAATTTGAATTTACTCTTTAATGCACTCTCATGAGCAAGTTGAATATATTTTTCTTCAAAGATCTAATATATGTATAATTTTCATAAACAAGTGGCAATGAGACTTGAACATGCTTGAACTCGATCTACTATAATAAAGTAACATTGTTCAAAAACTTAAGATGTTCATGGGACAACAAACTTATTTATTTAAATTTATTCTTTAACACAAACGCTAGACCAAACTTTCCTTGTACAAATGGAAGTGGGAAACTTGGATCATTTTATTCAGAATTACACATCCTTAGAATATCATGTACTTATTGCTTCATATTATGATTTGTAAGATCTTTACGACATGCATTGTGTGTGAATTAGTTAATCATCTGAAGCAACACTCATGTCTGTCTCTTCATCCCACGGGAATGGCTTGATTGGTTTGGTTGCTTCCAAAATTTCATCAATTGGAATCTTTGGTTTTGATTTCTGAACTGAACTACATCCTGCGAAAATGCTACAGCAATAAGAATACAAATAAAGGAGTACATCTTAGATTTCATTAGTATGTCATATAAAGTGAGGTGAACTGCATAAGTTAATCGACAGATTTGGTCACATTCTTCTTTTCCATAGCCATGTTCAATTCAGCCAAGTTGTACATGATTTTGTTTCACGATTTAACCCCTAAAAACATTGATAAAAGGATGCTTACCAGATCAGCATGCATTTTCTTCACAAATGTTTTAAATAAGCTGAAGTTCTTTTCTTCAAATAACTCCTCTGATAAACGGAGGTAGGTCACTCCAGCCATTTTCAGTTTTGGAGGACCATTTTTGTTGACGCCATTTGGCCTAGCATTCAGAAGGATTTGGTTGTAACCTGCAGATTCGTATCTGGAAAGTGCATTTTCTCCAGCCAAGTCAATATTTTCCTTCCATCCATCACTCAAAACCTGCAGAAATATGGTGAAAATTTTGCCCCAATTTACATCTTATTGTGTTGGAAAAAAAAATCATATGTAACAGGATACGCCTAAATACGAGACGACACATTTTTACTTACACGGCCTATGTTGGATATATATGACTCCACACAACATGAAATATAGATCTATATGACAGACATACGCTGCAACATGATTTATTATGCATATCTAAGTTTTGGAGAGTTAAGTGACAAATTGTTACTACTACCAAAAAAAAGTACCCAAAAACATTATGTAAGTTTCTACTTTTAATTTTCGAGAATTTCTAATGGAAAATTGGCTCACAGTTCAACCTGCTGTACAAGTTCTTGAGGTCCACCTATAGCTTCTGCTGGTTGTTCGTTGTCTCTCATTTCAAGACATGTGAAATTTAAGGTTCCATAATGTCTGGACAGCATCCTTGCTATCGGCCGGTATCCGTCCCTTCCAGTCAGGTTATAATATCCTGATGTTAGCTACAAGCATGACTCTCAACCTTATACCACCAGTGGATTCCAGAAACCTGTTTGCACAGAAAAGTTAGAGCGGGGTTAAACACAGAGCGAAATAAGATCAGATGTCCATCCATGACAGATAAATTTCCGTCTTGTATCAGAGTGCCGTAAAAGGTTATCGTGAAATTCATAAAGACAGTCATGGAATAGTACTTTTCTATTGTGATAGTTATGACTGTCGTTGAACTTTATATTCCAGATATTATAAGTAATTCCACGTCCATACATATTAAGCTTTTTCTAATAACACGTACTTTAGCGGCGAGCTTGACTTTGCATCCCAAGAAGGCTTTGTTGGCTTCCTCAAGTATCTGATCCCCGTGGTATATTAGCTTGTTGGAGTACCATTTTAAGAAAAACTTTCCCTTTTCTGTCTGGTAAGTCCCATTTGATCCGAAAAATCCTATTTTCTCAGGGGTGTCATTGTATGTTCCTGCATCATCTGGGAGGTCCCATTCTGGGTGCCCTGCCTTGGTTGCAGCCTCCTTAAAATCATGTCTCAAATACTTGTCATAGCACTGCAATCATAATATCAATTTTTTCTGTTAGAATGCATGGGATTCGGTTAATTTACTTGAAACCTGAAACAAGGGGGGAGGCCTATCAATCCGAATAATAACTTGTACAATCTACAAATCGCATCCCTAATTACAAGAGGAATAATAAATTCCAAAATGAGCAAAACTCACAAACATATTTATAGTGGTTCACCTCCATATGAAATCTTTGGCAGGTCCCTCTTACACATGACTTGTCACACCCCGTCCCAAACTCCTTACTAAACTCAAGACGTGACGTGCGCCGATGATAAGTACCAGCTTGACACTGGACCCATCACGAAAGCAACTATAACTATACTTCGATTGTATGGTCTCCTTTGACCAATAAAAACCCGTTTTTCTTTTTTTGAAAATTTTGACAGTCTCCTCTAAAAATGGAACCATACTCAATCCTGTAACCATAAAAATTTCCCAAACACCAATACATAAACACCATAAAATCAGTCACATATCCACCCAAAATATCTATATCACTAAGCAGCATAACTGCTTCTCAAAAAGATAATA